ACTCTTCTCTCTGCAAGAATGTTATCTGGGGAATGTTCTCCCAGATCCTGACAAGGTAGGCCTATTCTCTCTTCTCTTTCAGGTCTCTGCTCAATCATCTTCTCTGAGAGGCCTTTTCTGACTTCCGACACTAAAATAGGCCCTTCCTAGTTATCTGTATCATATTCCCCTACTTATTTTCATTGCTGTTACTACAGTCTATAAGGATCTTCTTCATTTGTTTGCTCGTTTATTGTCTATATTCTCTGGTAGAATATAAGTACTGTGATACTCCACAAGAGCAAAGATCATGCTTTATGAGGTTTATCATTGTGCCTAATACACGGCCTTGGCACACAAGTACCAAATAGATTTTGTAAAATGAATTAGTAAATGAATAAATGATACAAAAAAACTGGTTGTTATGAATATCAGTAACTTGAGAAAGCCGTTTTTATAATTTTGAGATATTTTCTCTAGGGCTATTCATTTCTCTACAGTCTTTCCACATTTTCTGAAATAATTCCTGGAAATTTGTTGTATTATTTCATAGCAATAAAAATACATCGGTTTCAATCAGTGGATTTAAGAAAAAAATATTTTCAAGAGGTTTTAGTGGTTTACCAAACATCAATAAAAATCAAACAATTTGAAAATTGGTCCGTCTCATTTCACTACCGCAAGTCAAATTACATGAAGAAAGAGAATGTGAAATGTAAATAAAATGAGAAAGAAGATAATCCAATAAATAAGTGCAGTTACATTTAGTAATAACAGAAATATCCAGTCTGATAATCTCTAGGTGTACCAGATGGACTATCAAACACATATTGAGTCATATTGAAGATTCAGAGCAAAATGCTTATGGCTAATTCACATCCACCTTTATTCTTTTCCTGGCAAATATAGTCTTACTATGCAATCACATTACTAGCAATCTTAGCTTAGATTTTGTATCAATAACAATCATGAAAAGAAAAAAGTAAGAAAATAGTATAAACTCTTTTCCTTGAAAAAGTTGTACGTTTTTATGTCTTTTGAGAATGGTTTGCTAAGAAAATTACAGATTTAGAAAGGTGGGCCTATTACAGTAAGTACCCTTTCCCTACTACATTCCATTTTTTAATAAACCTCAAGTAAACCCAGGAATTTACCAAACCAATTGGAAAACTACAAATTATCTGCAAGTTATCTAACTAAATGGATAAGCAATAGGCTTTACTTTTCTTGTGAAAACTACTTTCTTCAGAACATCAACTAAGCCTTATATAATCACACGACACTTTCTGAAGTGTGTTTACAAAAATGGCAGATTAAAACCCTTGGCCTTTTTAATAATTGAAGCTCTTATTTATCTGTTTTTTAAATACATCATTTGATGTTGCAGCAGAAACTACTCTCATCTCACTGCCATAAGAAGTGCCACCGGGACAGTGAAATTTAGCCATTATCTTCATTCACAACCTGGTTTCTTCTGAGATTGCTGCCAATTAGTGCACACTGTGTCAATGGCAACACTAGGTCACACATCAGGCAAACAACTCTTTTACCGTTAAGTATGAGGCTATTAATAAGAACTTGCAGTGAAGGGAGCTAATATTTTTAGATGTAAAATGATGTCATAAATGCTGAATTATTTCATTTTTCTCAGTTTTTAAATTTGAACACTAGATACAGCCTATTTCCAAAAACACAGCTGCATATGTCAGCATGTGCTTGTTCACTGGTATTTGCCTCCACTGTGTGCTTCTCCATTCAGTTTTCTTCACACACTAATTACAGTATGGAAGTGACCAAATGAACCTCAGTATGGGAGCTAACACCACAACTACATGGGGAGAAAGTGATATCCCTAAGAGTGAGTAGTCTTTTTTGTAACTACGTGGTTTTAAAATACGCTGCTTTTAGACGGTTTATACAAATATGAAATCTACTGTTAAGAAACTGTGGCTTCAAAAAAATAATAAATTTTTTAAAAAGCAGGTGCTCTCCAGAGACAGTTTTAAATCCCAGCGTTTCTTAGTCTCCATTCAATGTGCTTAGTTGCCAGCCTATAGTAACTTGAACGACTTTATCCCAAACCACTAAAGTCCTCTGACTACATTAAAACTATGAACATCCCAGTTTACAATTAGAGAAATGAAGCCAGGCATCACAAGCCCCACCAATCCTCTCTCTCAGGCCTGTTAAGCAGCCAGGGAAGAATCAGATTTAGGACCATGTACGAAAATTGCGTACAAACATATATACATACATTTTAAGTGACTATTGTTCTTGGGCTAAGTTAATGAAACCTAGAAAGAAACTTTAAAGTTCCCTAGCTGATATTTACTAAGGCTATTTAGTGAAGGGATGATCTCATCACTTTCAGTAAACTGTAGCCTAGACTATAAGCCTCCACGAAAATCATTAGTCAACTGTGATTAAACAAGCAAACAAAAAAAAAAAAGTCAAAATATTCAGAGCTGAAGACATTCAGAGCGAAGTTAAAAGCTTCGAGGAAGAAAAGGAGTGTGCTCCTGACTTGGGAGCCAGGAGAGGAGCCTCCTAAGTTAGAAGCTTCTGAAGGAGAGATGGATTAGGAGGCACAAAGCAGAAACTGTTAGAGGGCAAGAGACAGTGGGGCCGGGGCGGGCAGAGGGACCCCAGACCGTCAGGGCAGCAACAGCGAGGCCCAGAGAAGAAAATCTTGGAGAGATGACAAAGAAGCACAGGAAAGCCGGCTTCTGGGGTCCTAGAAGAACCCAGGCGTCCGACGGAGCCAGAAGGACCGGGAGAACGGGATGCGAAGGTGTTAAGGATGAGGGCGCGCACCAGCACGCGGGAGAAAAAGAGGGGGCGGCGGGCAAAACGAAGCTGGTTCCCTGCTCCTCTGCTCCTCTGCCCCTGGTACAGATCGCAACTCCTCGCCGCGCACCGCGCAGCGCCAGGTCCGGAGGCAGGGAAGCGGCTGATGGAGCCCCTGTGACTTCGGGACCCTGCCTCACCTTGCTCGCCGCGTCCTGGCGTCGCGCCGCTTGTCCGCCTGGTGCTGCGCTCCGAGGGCCAAAGAGGGAGTCTCGCGGCGCAGCCGGGGCTCCCTCCTGCTGCGAGGCACCAGCACCCGCACCTTCGCACCCTCTGCTAGTCCCGGCCACTTCACCCTGTCCTGGCGCAAGCGGAGAGCACGGACCCTAACCCGAATGCAGCTCCAGTTATTTTCAAAACTCCCCGTTCCAGGCTTCCCGGGAATAGGAGCTGAGCTACTGCGGCCGCAGCGGCAGAGCCTCCGCCTGACCTCACCAGGGTGTGGGGGGGACTGCTGAGGGAGGGGGGCGGGAACCCAGTTGGGGAGGGAGGGGGCAGTGGGGGGAGGGAGCGCGCGGGCGGGGGAAACATGGCGGCGGGGGTGGCCCCGGCAGCGCCTGCGCGGGAGGCAGGGTGGCGGGGAGCTGTGGCTAGGACAGTGTGTGGGGTCCCAACGGAACTCCCAGGCTGTAGCCAAAGCTTGACAGGGCCGGACCCTGAAGCTGAATGACCGCTAAGTGGCCCTCACGCCTCCGAAACCGGGAGGGTCGGGTGTGAGCCCACATGGCTTCTAGTGCCGGGAGGCAGAGAAAGTGAAAAGTGTCAAGTATCCAAGGACAACAGTGCAGCCGCCCCGGGTTAACCACTCCAAGGAGGTCCACCCGTGCATTCTGCCAGCCGTGGCCTCGGCCTCCTCATAGTCACGGTGGGGCCCCGGCAAAGGGTGTGCTCTGGAAGCGGTGCCACCTCACCTCAGTGGGGCCCACGTCTCAAAATAAGCCTGACCCAGGCTCTCACACAAATACCACTCTTCTAGAGGGATAAGCGCTTCATCCCTCCCCCTCCCTGCTGCAGTACACAACATTAAGAAAGAGGAAGGATAAAAACTACAAATAACTGTTTAACATTTTACTGAGCGTCTGCTATGAACCAAGCACTGAAGCTTCAACTTACCTAATTCACAGCTACTCTGTAAGTTACACACTATTGTCTCCATTTTACAAGTGACAAAACTGAGGTGTATAGGTTAAGCAAGTTGCCAGAGGTTACGTAAATAGTGACCGAGCGGGACTCAGGATCCCAAGCGGTGTGATTCTGGCACCCAGGCTCTTAACTATGCGACCTGCTTCCCAACTCTGGTGGGACTGCTCTTCTAAGTCAGAATCTTGATTCTGTTCTATCAGCCTAGCCCCCAACAAAAACCCCCGTCAAGCCTGTTTTTCCCCTTGCTTGTCTTCTATTCATTCTTTGCCTTCTTGACGGTTACAGCCTGGGGCCACCTTCTTACACCTCTTCCTTTGCCCTTCCTTGCCTTTCTACTTATAATTCCAGACTCCTCCTTGGGAAAATAAAGGGAGTTTGCTCTTAGCAACCACTTTAATCACTGTTGTGATTTTTTTCTTTGGCTGTTTTTTGTTGTTTTTTTTCTTAAGGAAGTGATGCGGTGAGTGTGGAATCTTCATGTTTTCTAGGATTTCTCCCTCTGGGATCTGAGATCTTCAACATTGCTGACTTTGTATTTCAACTTACATACACTGAAATTCTAGTAGAAGGTTTTAGGTAAATTTGAGAATAATCAGCTACTCAAAAACTTGCTAGAACTAAAGATAATACCACATTGTTGGACTTTACCAAATATTCAAAGAACTCCAAATATACATTGAATTTGCATTATTACCTTTTACCTGCAAGTGTATTGAACCCAATCCCCCTTTGTTAACAGGAATGCATCCATTGGCTTCTCCACTATGCTTATTCAATAATTATTGTACAGCTACCTTACACACTAAATGCTTATTAGGTAGAAAGCACCTTTTACAGAAGTTTACAATCTCACTGAGGTGATATATTTCAAGCAATCACTTTTAGCATGTATCAAAAACCTGGCACATAAGTTAAAAAAAAAAAGTACAAACTGAGCTGGTGTACACTCGAGTCACTGCTTTATCCTGCCATAAAAAGGTTCAAGTGGGGTTAGTTTATAATAAGTTTCTCCCACAGAAAGGCCAGTAAAAATGGGGCAATCCAGTGTGGCCAAGCAGGCCTTATCTACACAAAGAGAAAACCCTCATAGCAAGGTTGTTGAGATGGGGGCAACTGCAGGATCTGCATTTGAACTACCAGTAGCTTGCACAGATTCTCAGTTAAAAAAGAAGAAGAAGAAAGAAAAAGAACTGGCAGTAAGATATTACAAATATACTTATCCAATAGAAGTCCATTGCTGTTTGTTTGGGTTCGGGTGCTGTATCTGAATACTTAATCTACTGGATAGAGCACTAGACTTGGAGTCAGAAGACAATTTATATGCTATGTGACATTAAGTTAGTGCTCTGAGAGTGTTTTCCCAAATTTCCAGTGGGGAGCAAAATAATACTGGTCTGATATGCCCCACAGCATTGTTTAGGGTTTCAAATAAGATAACATATGGGAGAGTAAGTTGTATTTGGAGAAAAGGTCTTTAAAGAGGTAATTCAGTTAAAGTGATGTCTCTAAGATGGGCCCGAATCCAATATGACTGCTGTCCTTTTAAGAAGAGTTTAGGACTTAGACATATATGCACACAGAGGAAAGACCATGTGAGGATGCAGTGAGAAGGCAGCCACTTGCAAGACAAGGAGGGGCTTCAGAAGAAACCAAACCTACCAACACCTTGATCTTCTAGAATTACAAGGAAATAAATTTATGTTGTTTAAGTTACCCAGTCTATGGGGTTACACTTTGTTATGGCAGGTCTAGCAAATGAATACAATGGGGAGCATTTCAAATGCCAGCTAGAGTATCCGCTGACTTAGTTATTGTTCGTTGCTAAAAACACACACATTAATTATCTGTTTCCATGTGTCAGGAGTCCAGGTATGGTTTAGCTGGGTACACTGCTCAGGGTCTCACAAGGCTGCAATCAAGCTTTTGGCTGGGCTGTGTCCTCATGTGGAGCTCAGAATCTTCTTCCAAACTCATTCAGATTGTTGGCCAAATTCAGTTCCTTGCAGTTACAGAATTAAGACCCGTAGCATTTACTGGCTTTAGAGGCAGCCCCTCTCCATTAGCAGTTGACAACATGGTTGTTCTGCTTAGCCAAGGCCAACAGAAAAACTTCTTTCTCCTCAGGAGAAGTCTAGTGCCTCTTTTAAGGTCTTTTAACAGATTAAGTCAGGCCCTCCCTCCCAAGATTATCACCCTTTTGATCAATTCAAAAATTAACTGTGTGCCTTGATTACATCTGCAAAATCTCTTCACCTTTGCCACATAATGTAACCTAATCACAAGAGTGATAGCCCAGCATATTCACAGGTCCCAACCACACCAAAGTGGAGAATGTATAACAGGAGACAAGAATCTTAGGACCATCTTAGAATTCTGCCTACCATGCCCCAAATATTTGACAGCACCAATTAATTATACAATTATAAAAATTAACTAACAGAGCATACAGGCAGATGTGGGCACACACATAACATACATACAAACACACACACACACACACACACGCACACCCCCAAAGTGCACAGAGCTGGTAGCTGATCTCTAATCAGTCTAAAAGCATTTGCAAGCTTGCTGTGTGCCTAATGTGAAACTAAAAGATTTCAACTGCATTAACTCTGATTAAATAACAAATTGAAAACTATTTAGGATACATTTTGTCTCTCTGGTAAATTTGCGTTTCTTCAAAACACTCATCTCATCAATTATTGAATGGAACCTATTATTGAATGGAATCTATTTTAAAAAAAACCCTCACAGGGCTTCGGGTAGCATACACAGAAGGGTCTTGCTTTAAAAGTTAGAGATAAATCTGACTAAAGAGGTGCAAGACCTGTCCTGAAAACTTTAGGCTTGAATAAATGTAGAGATATACTGTATTCATAGGGCAGAAGAATTGATATCATTAAGATGTCAATTCACTCCTAATTGATCTATAGTTACAGCACAACCCCGATCAAAGTCCTAGCTGGCTTTTTCTGCAGAAATCGACAAGCTGATTCTAAAGTTCATATGGAAATGTACTAAAATAGCCAAAACAACTTTTAAAAAGAGCATTAGGGGGATAATACTACCTGATTTCAATTTTTACTGTAAAGCTACAATATTCAAGACAGTGTAATATTGATCAATGAAACAGAATAGAGTCCATAAACAGACCCACAACATATATGGGCAAGTGATTTTCAACAAATATTCAAAAACAATACTTCTTTCCATAGTGAGTACACCAATTTACATTGCCACCAACATTCTCCACATCCACGTCAATACCTGTTATTCATCCTTTCTATAATAGCCATTCTGACAGCTGTGAGGTAATATTTCACCGTGGTTTTAATTTGCATTTCCCTTGATGATTAGAGATTTTCAACATTTTTAAATACATTTATTGGCGATTTGTATCTCTTCTTTTGAGAAATGTCTGTTCAGATCCTTTTCCCCCCTCTGGGTATATATTCAAAGGAATTGAAATCAGTATGTTAAAGAGATATCTGCACTCCAGTGTTTATTTCAGCATTATTCATAGTAGTTCAGTAGTTAAAACATGGAAGCAATCTAATAATCCATCGATGAATGAATGGATAAAGAAAATGTAGTATATATACACAATTAAATACTATACAACCTTAAAAAAAGAAATTCTGTCATTTGCATCCATGACAATGTGGAAAGAATTGGAGGAAATTATGCTAAGTGAAATAAGCCAGACATAGACAATACTGTATGATCTCACTCATATGTGGAATCTAAAAAAGTCAATCTCATAGAAACAGAAAGTAGAAAAGTGGTTATCAGAGGCAGGGGAAGGAGTAGGAAGCATGGGGAAAGTGAAGATGTTGATCAAAGGGTCCAAAGTTTCAGTTAGACTGGAGAATAAGTTTTAGTGACCTACTGCATGGCATGGTGACCGCAGCTAATAGTGTATATTTCAAAACTGCCAAAATAGATTTTTAAAATTCTCTCCTCCCACACAAAAAAAGATAAGTTGGTGAGGTGATGGATATGTTACTTATCTTGATTAAATCTTTCTATAATGTATACATAGACCAAAACCTCACATTGTATCCCACAAATATACACAAGTATTATTTGTCCATTTAAAAAATTTAAAGGCAATTCAGTGGAGAAAGGATAGCTTTTTTCAACAATGGCGCTGGAACAACTGGACATCCATGTGAACTAAGATCCATACCTACTACCATCTACAAAAATTAACTCAAAATGCATCAAAGACCTAAATGTAAAATCTGGAGCTATAAAATTTCCAGAACTTTGGCAAAAACCTTTGTGACCTTGGGTTAAGCCAAGATTTTTTAGCTACGACACCAAAAGCATGATCCACAAAATGACAATAAGTTGAACTTTATCAAAATTGAAAAGAAACAACTCTTCTATAAAAGACACTGTTGACAGAAAGAAAAAAGAAACTACAGACTGGTAGAAAATATGCAAAAATCATATCTAATATTAAAAGACTTGCATACAGAATAAAGAACCTTCAAATCTCAATAACAAGAAGATGAACAACAAATTAAAAAAAAACAGGTAAACTATTTGAGCAGACACCACCAAAGAAGATATATCAAAAAAGCATGACAAACAAGCACATGAAAAGATTCTCAACATCATTAGTCATTAGGGAAATGCAAATCAAAGCCACAATGAGATAACACTACAATGTACTAGAATACCTAGCACTAACAAGAATAATTGTAATAAGTTTCTGCAAGGAACTACAACTCTCATATGCTGCTACTGTGAATGAAAAATGGTACACTCATTTTGGAAAATAGTTTGGCAGTCTTTTAAAAAGTTAAACATACACCTACCATATGATCCAGACATTCCACTCCTAGGTACTTACCCAAGAAAAATGAAAGCATATGTCCATACAAAGACTTGTACATTAATATTCATAGCAGATGTATTAGTTATTAGCTAAAAATAGAAACAACCCAAAAGTCCATCAACAAGTGAAGTGATAAACTAGTACATCCATAAACTGGAATACTACCCAGCCATAAAAAGGAATGAATGTACTACAATATGATATGCATAACAATATGGATGAATCTCAAAATAACTATATCCAAGCGAAAGATGCCACACAAAAAAGTATGCGGTGTATTATCTCATTTATATAAAAGTCTATAAAATGAAAATGAATCTGTAGTGATAGAATGCAGATCAGTGTTTGCCTTGGGGTGAGATTGGAGGGAGGGCAGAAAGGACAATTGGGTACAAGGGAACTTTTAGGGATGATAAGTATATTCCTTATTGCTTTTATGGTAATGTTTTCACAAAACATGTCAATATTTATCAAATTGTACACTTTAAATATGCACAGTTTATTGTATGTCAGTGATACCTCAATAAAGCTGTTAAAATTAGTCATGTGCCTTGACAAACTGCAGTATCTCTAGTTTACTCCCTTTTTGTGAACAAGAATACAAAAACAGGAATACAGTCAAGGCTCAGGAATGGTTTGGAATCAGGGACTAGAGTGCTGGAAGGACTATCTCTGTCTCTTTTCTGCACAGTACCAGGAAATCTAGTTCATTATTCTCTTTTATCACAGATGGGGATTTTATGCTTTCCTGGCTGCATGATAGGACTCAGTTGGTCACATATCCCTGGGTTTTATCTCCTCTATTCAACAGACCAGACAGACTGAGGCTGAAATCTCTGAAACCTAACTCTATATTCCATTGGAGTTATCTCTGACTGGCCATTTTGGTCTCAGGTACCCAGTTCTGGATCAATGAACTAATCTCTGGCCTAGATTGAATCTAAACTAGATGGAGAAAATCTTAGCATAGCTGTTAAGAATTTGGGAAAACAAGCCGGGCATGGTAGCTCACACCTATAATCCCAGCTAGCAGGGAGGCTGAGGTAGGAGGATCACTTGAGGCTAGGAATTGGAAACCACCCTGAGCAACACAGCAAGACTCTGTCACAATAATAATAATAATAATAATAATAATAATAATAATAATAATAATAACTTGAGGATATAGTGGTCATGACTTCAAGTCAGTATTGAGGTTTCAGTTAGCTCCAAGAAGGCTTTTGTTATTTGCAACCAAAAGAGTTCTAACAAAATCACCTAGCATTTGTAATGGAGATATACGGTAAAAGCTAGAGACATCAAGTAGGCAACCACAATTTCTAAGGTCTCACCAAAAGACCTCCTGAGGCCTCCTCTTGCTATAAAAAATGTATTTCATGATTCTCATTGTAAACTCAAATTCTACCATAATTACTAGAATGCATAACGGGGCATCCAGAAATTTAAGAGAAGGGAAGCCTCCTATCTTCTGTTTTCACCCTATCACATAGTTTTCCACCCATGCTCTGAAGTTAGGACCATTAAACAGAGAACAATGGGAAAGACTAGCTTTTAATCAAATTGAAGAAAGGACATATCATTCTCACTATAAGTAACTACACTGTTGTAAGTAGCAAGAAATTTAGGATGCCACCTAATACAAGAGGGGTCATTGCTCCCCTCACACAACACCCTATGAACACAGAAAATGACATGGATGATGTTGGAGTTCAGGGGGCTATTTTATTATTTTTAGAAAAAGGGTCTCCCTCTGTCACCCAGGCTGGAATGCTGTGGCATAATAAGAACTCACTGTAGGCTGGGCACACTCATCCCAGCACTTTGGGAGGCCAAGGCGGGTGGATCACTTGAGGTCAGGAGTTTGAGACCAGTCTGGCCAACATGGTGAAACCCCTTCTCTACTAACCATACAAGAATTAGCCAGGTGTGGTGGTGCGTGCCTATAATCCCAGCTACTCAAGAGGCTGAGACAGGAGAATTGCTTGAACCTGGGAGGTGGAGGTTGCAGTGAGCCAAGACCGCGCCACTGCACTCCAGCCTGGGCAACAGAGTGAAACTCTGTCTCAAAAATAAATCAATCAATCAATCAATCAATCAATCAATCAATCAATCAATCATTGTAACCTCGAACTTCTGGACTCAAGCGAGCCTCCCTCCCCCGCCTCCCGACTAGAGAAAATGCCATTTTATTGTCCATACATTAGAGAATTTGTTAAATACCACTCACAAATTACAGTGGCATCATATTATACCAAACGTTCTATAGAAAAAAAAAAAATGAAAATTATAAAGGGTTTGCATTGCACATGAAACACCAGCAGTTATACTACTGACCACTCGGAAGAGAGATAGGCAGCAAGAGCTGCTTACTGAGTATATCAAGTTTAGAACTGAACACCTTTTTTTTTTTTTTTTTTGAGATGGAGTCTCGCTCTGTCGCCCAGGCTAGAGTGCAGTGGCGCAATCTCGGCTCACTGCAAGCTCCGCCTACCGGTTCACGCCATTCTACTGCCTCAGCCTCCCGAGTGGCTGGGACTACAGGCGCCCACCACCACGCCCGGCTACTTTTTTGTATTTTTAGTAGAGACGGGGTTTCACTGCCTTAGCCATGATGGTCTCGATCTCCTGACCTCGTGATCCGCCCGCCTCGGCCTCCCAAAGTGCTGGGATTACAAGCGTGAGCCACCACACCCGGCCCAGAACTGAACACATTTTTAAAATAAAACAATATTTTGTCTACATTTGTGAAGATTTGGAACCACAGAAAGTTTTTAAGAAAAAAAAAATTACATTACTTTCAAGTATATAGAGAAATGCAAATTAGATTGGCTAAGAGTTCATAGACACCCTTAATAGACCGGCTGTATTAATCAGAAAGATAATCAGCCAAGTAAGGTATCCAAGTCTTCTCATATATTGTTTCCTGTAAGGACACTATTCCCCAGCCCTATTCGCCTAGACAACTTCCACAAGTCTTTAAGTCTCAGCTTGGTGCTTTTCTCCAGAAGACCTTTCCTGATACCTTAGACTAGAATGAGTATTTCCGTAATATTCCCAAAGCACCCTGTACTCCTCAAATCATAATGTCATCCTGTTAATGTAAACCATTATTTATCTTCTTGCTAGAATGTAAGCCCCATGAAGACCAGGTCTGTCTTGTTCTGTTACTGAATCCCAGTGTCTGAAGTAAAACCTGTCACATTGGGACTGCACAAATAAATACTGTTGACTTAATTTGTTAACTCAAGTCACTAAAGAATTATGTTGTGTGATGGACTAACTCTATTAGCTTACCAACTGTACCTAAAAGAGGACATCAACGGTATTTATTCTTCTAAGTTCTTTATACTCTCCTGATACAATCTTGTCTATAATACTGATGTTCTTGGCAATGCTTTTGTTTTTCCACAGATAGGGCAAACTCTCAGTTTCTGTCTAAATATTCGTGGATTCTCAACTAGTGAAGTACACATTAATGAAGCTATACTGCATTCTGATTAGATTCTTCTTGACACTTCCTAATAACCACTTCATTTCAGGGATTAAAAAGTTTCAGAATGTGATGTGTCTACTCAACATGAATGATTTTTAACTATGCAGCTCTTTTTGATTCAGGCCCTGTGTACCTTAGCTCAACATGAATGATTTTAACTATGCAACTCTTTTTTATTCAGGCCCTGTGTACCTTAGCTGCCTAAATACAGAATTTTGGTATAAATCCCACATTCATACATCCAAGATACAGGAAATTACATTTCAATGGCATTTGTAATTTATTGGCACTTTTAGTAAAATTGGTTTTTTTACAACTGTTTCCTTACATTATTAATTATATCCAGCCAGAGGCTGCTCTTTAAGTATCCACACTCATCTTGCTCAACGTCAACACTATGCTAATTAGAAGTGTAGCCTCATTTGAGTGTCAGAAAAGTCCTGAACTCTTCTAGGCCTCCCATCTCATTCCTCACCCCAACCTGCTCACCAATCAGTACTTGTCGTTCTTGGGTTTGACATCCACTGATATTTCCTTGATTATTCTTAATAATGAGAATAATGACTTGAGTTTATTATTTATTGAGTGCTATGATATGGCAGATACTGTACTCAACCCTTTAAAAACATTATCTCATTTAGTCCTTGAAACAATCCAGTGAGGCAGATGCCGTTAATGTTCCCACTTCACAGAGATGAGATCTGAAGCACAGGAAGTTACATAACTTCCTTAAGGTTTCACAAGTATTAAGAGACAGGGATGGGCTTCAATCCTGGGCAGGGCATCTCCAGAGCCTATGCTACAACATTTTTATGAAAATGTTAGTATATTGTTGTCACTCAGGGGAGGGCTTTCCCTCACCTTCCACCTTGCTCTGGCCTTCTCAGTGAAACAGGAAAAATAAATAAATTATATTACTTTTACTTGAGATACTTGGGTACAAACATGGCCAAAAAGAACATCTATTTTTTTTCATTTTAAGTTTCATCATCATTCTTCTTCCTAATCTCTACCTACACTCTATGTATTTGAAAATTACTATGGAAGATTCTCTTTACAACAGGAAAGTTATACACGGAATATCAATTTATCCCCACATTCCTTGTTATTGACAGCTCTTTCTTCCATGTTCAAACTTAACATTTAAAAACTGAGTCCGGGAACAGTGGCTCACACCTCTAATCCTAGCATTTTGAGAGGCTTAGGTGGGTGGATCACTGGAGGCCAGGAGTTTGAGACCAGCTTGGCTGACATGGTGAAACCCCATCTCTACTAAAATTACAAAATTTAGCCAGGCATGGTGCCAGGCGCCTGTAGTCCCAGGCGCTCAGGAGGCTAAGGCAGGGAATAATTTGAACCCTAGAGGCAGTGAGCCGAGATAGCACCACTATACTCCAGCCTGGGCAATAGCGCAAGACCCTGTCTCAAAAATAAAAACAAAAACCAAGTTATGCCAGGAGTGGTGGCACCTGCCTGCAATCCCAGCTACTCAGGAGGTGGAAGTGGGAGGATTGCTTGAGCCCAGGTGTTCAAATCCAGCCCGGGCAACAGAGCAAGAACTAGTCTATGCTGAAAATAAAAAACAAAAATAGCCTGGCATGGTGGTGTGCACCTGTATTCCCAGCTACCTGGGAGGCTGAGGTAGGAGGATCATTTGATCATTTTCACTCCAGTCTGGGCAAATGAGTGAGACCCTATCTCCAGATTGATGGATGGATAGATAGGTAGATAGATAGATATTTAATAGATAGATTTTAATTTTAAAAAATAAATTAATTTTTAAAAATTATATGAATAAAAAGTATTAAATTTTTGAGTTGGAAAGAACTTTAAAGACGATCCAACCTCTTCATCTTACAAGTGAAGGTCTCTGGATCAAGACTCAATATGCCAGGCATTTAGTTAGTTAATTCTGCAAATATTTATTGAGTACCAACTATGTATTTGAGATGGTGCAGAAGAGACAAAATTATGAGTTTGAAAAGCTTATATTCTAGTAAGGTAAGATAATAATCAAGAAATACCATAATGTGATAATTCCAGGTAATGATATGTGTCATACAAAATAAAACAAGGAAACGTTTTATAGTAAGTGAGCAGTATACGTAGTGAGTGATCTGGGATGGGAGAAACTAATTCTGAAGGGGTAGTCAGGAAAAACTGCTTTTAAGAAGTAAAATTTATACCGAGCTCTGAATGTTGAAAGGAAGTCATCCAAGCAAAGATCCGAGGGAAAATCATTCCAGAGAAGGAATGGTAAGTGAAAAGCCCTGAGGTGGGAATTAATTCAGTGCATTGAAAAAATAAAAAACAGCCATTATAGCTGAAGAATGGTAAATCATGGCAGAGTGGTAGAACATGATGTCATAAAGGTCAATCAAAACAAAATCATTTAGGGTCTGTGGACCATATCAGAAGATTTTGATATTATTCTAATTGCAATAAGAAACCATAAAAACGTCGGGTGTGGTGTTTCACACCTGTAGTCCCAGTACTTTGAGAGGCCGAGGCAGGCACATCACCTGAGGCCAGGAGTTCGAGACCAGCCTGGCCAACATGGTGAAACCCAGTCTCTACTACAAACACAAAAATTACCCGGGCGTGGTGGCGCTCACCTGTAATCCCAGCTACTCGGGAGGCTGAGACAGCAGAATCGCTTGAACCCAGGAGGTGGAGGCTGCAGCAAGTGAAGTTTGCACAACTGTATTCCAGCCTGGACAAAAGAGCAAAGACTCCATCTCAAAAAAAAAAAAAGAAAAGAAAAGAAAAAAATAAAAAGAAACTTTGGAGCAAGGCAATGATATGATCTTAGTATTTTAAATGACTAAGTGATGCTAAAATCTTAAGTCTGAGTACAACAATAGTTATACTTATCACTATTTTTCATTTGTGTACAGAATTGACCAGTTATGAGTTGAGTTTATTATCAATGTTTTAAGAAAACAATGCTGCCTGTGACATCCCGCCCCGGGGGCTAAAAGTGTCTGCCACCTTTATCTGCAACAGCATGGCCATCCAGGAGCTGTTCAAGTGCATCTCGGAGCAGTTCGCCGCCATGTTCTGGCGCAAGGCCTTCCTGCACTGGTACACGGGCGAGGGCATGGACGAGATGGAGTTCACCGAGGCCGAGAGCAACGTGAACGACCTGATGTCCGAATACCAGCAGTACCAGGTGCTGGTACTGTTGAGGAGGAGGACGAGTTGGAGGAGGAGGACGAGTTGGAGGAGGAGGACGAGTTCGAGGAGGAGGCCGAGGAGGAGGTGGCCTAGAGCCTCCAGTCACCAGGGAAAGCACCAATTCTAGAATTGGTGCTGTTAAGTAACTAGTTAACTAACTAACTAGAATTGGTGCTGTTTCAACTTACCAACAGCAACTGTTTACCCAACTCCAAACAACACTACATGGATGTTCCTAAAGGCTAGAATTTACAACAGTTTAGCTGTTTAGAAAGCTTTTTCACCAAACACCACTCCCTTTGTTTCCTTGTCATTGGGAGCCAGTATACAGACCATTAGTTCTTTTAATTTTTTTTTCCTTTTTCGTGGAAAGGTGTGCACTCTTTATTCACTCCCAGCCTGCCCCGCTGTGTGCGCACTTGCTGTTTTCCCTGTCCACATCCCATGCTGTACAGACACCACCATTAAAGCATTTTCATAGTGAAAAAAAAAATCAGTTAATCAGTTTCATAGTGGAAAAAAAAATCAGCGAAATAAAAATCAGTTATCTAGTTAACTAACTAGTTATCTAGTTAAAATTTTCTGACCTACCCACCTAGGATGACCCTCCTACATAACTATCATTATTTATTTCTCATGTATTCTTTCAGAATTTATATTTTTTATTTGAGAGCTAAATCAGCAAAACTATATTTTTATGGTTTTTAAAGTAGTGAATGGAGCAAAATAGGGAAGATATGATGGCATTTGTTAAAAGAGAACAATTTCTGCATAGTATGTTTGCTATTGGGTTTTATTAAGTAACTAAGGAAGTATTTGTTAAGTCTCTTCTCAAGCATGATTCTAGGTGATGGCTATAAATGTATTCCATATAAGAACATTATCAATATACTATGGTGAAACCAAAATTAGGTTTTAATGGACAACTTTAATTTCATATGTAATAAAACAATTTTTATAAATGCAATATTCTCTAATCAAGAAATCCAAATTTCCTACTGAACATGTTAAAGGAAAGTGAACATTTAGAAAACAACTGATCAAATACAAACAACTGGAAAGAGTAAATGAGAAGTTAAAGAAAAGAAAAATACAGGAAACTTGGGGAAATAGCTTTAGGAATGTCCATAGTCATTAGCTTTCAGCCACCAGGAAGATGTCCAACCAAAACTAAGATTTAAATGCCTTCAGGGAAGAAGGAGTTTCAATATTTAGCAGTTTAGTTACTAAGAGAGTATCTGACCTAAATTCACAGTAGAGTAGCTCATATTTTAGGTTACCTCATACTAATTCATTTCTCAAGCTTTTAACTACATTTGTGATATGATGGACACAAAAACATTTTAAAACAGAGACCACACAGGAATTTTAACATTAATCTGTATTGGGCTAGCAAACTAAATAATGTACGTCCTGATAGAAATCATAACGCAAAGCAACTACATCACATCATGCTGCACACAATGCCAGAAGAAAGGTTTGGTTAATCACGAGATATCACCACTCACATTAATTGTATCCTTGTATTCCCCTCTGGGTCGTGTGAAAGAACTTTCACAACTGAATCAGTTCAAATATGTCCACAATGTCTTTAAATATCCTTGAGGGTTCAGCATCTCATTCTCAAGTGAATACTTTTCCACCCATTTGTGTGAGTATGCTCAAGATATTTTTTTTTTCCTTTTTTGACAAAATTGCAAGGAGAAATATGGTCAAATTTTGATATCAAAAGCAAGCAGATTTTTAAAGTAGATTTTTTTAAATGTACTTCATATGAAGTTTCCCAGCTCTGTTACTTTCTTCTATTATCCTTATAGAACCAGATTGTGGGGAGGTAGAGATACTATTAATGGAATAGTTTGGATGGAACACAACATAAGCAAGTGATGCCTTTCAGTGGAGTGGAATTCAGGTAAACTTTGTGTTACACAACTGTATTAGTCAGAGTTCTCCAGAGAAATACAACCAATAGGAGAAATATATATACATACACACAGAGAGAGAGAGAGAGAGAGAAACTTATTTTAAGGAATCGGCTCACCTGATTGTGAAGGACGGAAGGCTGGAGACCCAAGAAAGGGTTGCTGTTGAAGTTCCAGTGGAAGGGAGTCTGTTGACAGAGTCCCTCCGTCTTGGGGGGCTGGTAGTGAGTCTTTGCTTTATTAAGGTCTGCAGGTCAGGTCATGTAAGCTGGAGTTCAAGGCAAGAATTGAACCTCAAATTGAGGAACTGGAGTGAAAATCAAGAACCCAAAGCAAGAGGCTACTTCTTTAGACTGAGCAAACCAAGTCGGGGTTAGAAGGAAAACTTGGAGTGAGTATATTCAGGTTTCACTTCAGGTCTACGGATTGGATGAGGTCCACTCACATTGTGGAAGATAATCTACTTTACTCAAAATCTACTGATTTAAATGTTAATCTCATTTTTAAAAATACCTACACAGCAACATCTAGAATAATGTTTAACTAAATATCTGGGTGCCAAGGCCTAGCAAAGCTGACACATAAAATTAACTATTAGTACAACCAATCACCAACAAATATTTCTTGAGCAATAGAGATGTTCCTGGAAAGTGGTACATACATATGATTTTTATAGATAGAGGCCCCATGGGGCCTCATGCACTAATGTCTTTCCACCTGTAGCCCAGTCCTGCTAGTTTTTGAGGAATCCAAACAAAGGCAAACAACCCAATAAATGGTAGATTCAGCCACCCTATGCTTCAGACCTGGGAGATTAGTGGTCAAGCTTGAGAAGAGCAACAAGCTGGAAGACCTGAAGTGAAGCCTGAGCATACTGCTTTGAACTTTGGACTCTTTATTATTTTCTTTTTAAAGTCAAGGACTTGCTCTATCTCGACTTGCTCTATCTCCAGGCTGGAGTGCAGTGGCATGACCATGGCTCACTGCAGCCTCGCCTTGAACTCCTGGGCTCAAGCGATCCTCCCACCTCAGCTTCTCAAGTAACTGGGACTAAAAGCATGCACCAACACATCTGGCCTTTTGTTTTTGTTTTTGTTTGTTTGTTTGTTTGTTTGTTTGTTTGTTTTTGAGAGACGGGGGTCTTGCTACGTTGCCTACACTGGTCTAGAACTCCCAGCCTCAAGCATTCCTCCTGCCTTGGCCTCCCAGGACACTGGGATTACAGGTATGAGCCACCGTACCTGGACTGGATTCTTGATTTTTTCACTCCAGTTCCTCAATTTGAGGTTCAATCCCTGCCCTGAAGACCAACTTTTACTTGACTGGAGCCCAAATGCTCCCCTTCCCCCATGAATTGGTGCTGTTTCAACTTACCAACAGCAGCTATTTACCCAACTCCGAACAACACTACATGGATGTTCCTAAAGGCTAGAATTTACAACAGTTTAGCTGTTTAGAAAGCTTTTTCACCAAACACCACTCCCTTTGTTTCCTTGTCCCTGGGAGCCAGTATACAGACCATTAGTTCTTTTAATTTTTTTTTCCTTTTTCATGTTCTACCCCTTCTCCACTAGCCTGTGCCAGCTTGCACAGATCATGGAAGTAGATGAAAAGGGAAAAAGGTAAAAATGAATGATCCAATTGTGAAATGAACAATCTCACTTATCCATTCTGCAGGATCAGATTCCTGACTATCATATTTTCACAGAACCAAGTACATTCATATTTGAGTGTGGATTCAGGTACACCTTCTAGAACAAAACTGAGAAGTATACACTATAAACAATACAAACGTGATATATTTCATAAGTCTTACTTTAATTCTATCACAAAGGGACTTTCTTTGTATGGGAATCACATATTCTAAAATTATGATTTTAACAGAAAAATGAACTACAAAAAAAGATTTTCAAAGGTGATTCATAAAATCATTTTAAATACATTTATATGCAATATTAAACCAGATTTGTCCAACAGTGCCTAGTTTGTAAATCAGATACCTATGAAAGACACATTTTTAGCTGATGTATATTTTTTATATACTGGATGATAATTTTTTTTTTTTAATTGGAGTTTCGCTCTTGTTGCCCAGGCTGGAATGCAATGGTACGATCTCAGCTCACTGCAACTTCCGCCTCCCGGGTTCAAGTGATTCTCCTGCCTCAGCCTCCCGAGTAGCTGGGATTACAGGCATGCACCACCACACCCAGCTAATTTTGTATTTTTAGTAGAGACAGGGTTTCTCTATGTTGGTCAGGTTGGTCTTGAACTCCTGACCTCAGATGATCGGCCCACCTCAGCCTCCCGAAGTGCTGGAATTAGAGGCGTGGGCCACCATGCCCGGCCCTCAAAGCATTTTCATAGCCATTATTTCACCTGGCAGAGATGAGGACTCAGACACATGGAAGAAGGCAAGAAGCCCAGTTGTCAGAAATGGTGAAACAATGTCAAGGCAACAATGATAACCCAATACTGAAACTCAGATGGCTAGGCTAGAACTGCCTGACTTGCCCCTGTCTAAAATCAGGATTGGTCCAGAGACAGGTGGGATTGAATCCGTGAGTGGGTGGCAAGCAAGTTAGTTCCTGTCTGTGGAGGCAAGCAATGGGGCTACGAAATAGGCAGCACCTGATGGCAATTTCATCCAAAAAGGCAAACAGCTCTAGACATCCAAATGAAGGGACATCTTGACTTTGGCACCCTGGAGAATGTGACAAATTGGGCTGAAGCTTTGAGAATTATTACCTGCAGCAAACGCAACAGAACTTGGAGTAATCAAGTTGAACAGAAAATCCTTAGCAGCAGTTGATGTTGTTGTTCACCATCACTTCTTGTTGAATCATCCCCCCATTGCTCCCCAAGATTTCCATGATAGATTCTCCTGCTTTGCCTATTGCCTCTCTGGCTACTCCTTCTCTGTCTCTTGCAAGTTCCTTTTATTGTCTTTCAATGTTCCCTAGCTCAAAGAATAGTACCACCAGCCACCTAATTATGCAAACCAGAAATTTAGACACTTTCCTTAGAATTTTTCTCTACCCCCGCCCCATGTCCAAATTACCGTGAATTACTATAAAGTTTACCTGGTAAATATCTCTTTAATCTATTCACTTCTCTCCATCACCACTACCCTGGTCCCAGACACCACCACCTCCGACCTTGAATACTGGAACAGCCTCCTGGGATAGAATCTTGGCTCTCCCACATTCCAGCTATGTATTCTTCAGCAAGTCTATTTACTTCTCTGAACTTCAATTTCCTCATAGGTTAAGTGGGGACAGTAACAGTAGCTACCTTGCAGGGTTGTTGCAAAGATTCAGTGACAAGATATATAAAATCCCTTTCAACAGTGCTTAATACAGTAAGTGCTACATCAATGATAGCTTTTAAAATATTATCTGCATTCTCACTCAACCCCCTTCATTATTTGCACTGTAGCCAAAGTGGCATTTTCCAAAATAAATATGATCATATTCTCCCCACCACCACTACACACAAGCACCCACAGAACACTCTGACAGATTCCCATTGCACTTAAGATAAAGTCAAAACTGCTTAACATAGACTAGAACAAG